CGTTTGTGGTACAATCGGAACATTGCGTGTGTTGAAGTTGTTTTATCGCAAACCAAAGATACCATTTCAAAAACAAGTTTACATCATATTCTTATGTATGCCAGTGCTGTGTGTGAGGTAATTTAAGGTGGTTCAGCATCTTCATATCTGGTCACATGGGCGGCAGGCCACTCCCGTCTGGTCACATGGGCGGCAAGCCACTCCCACAAAAGAGGCCACACCCACCGAGTAGGTTCGAACAATTTTTGAAACCCACCACTGACACGGGCCATATCTAAGAACCCTGCGGAGGCCAAAAACAGGGCACACAGAGGCCAAAAATGGGATGCAGAGGCTGAAAATGGGGCACGCAGAGGCAGTAATAGGCAATGTCAATCTCTGCACCATGAAACAGCTGATGATCGGGAGGCCGACCCAACCAACAATCAGCTGCTTGTGCTAATCTGGCTGTGCTGAAGCTGAAACTTAAACAGGCTGTTTGTTGTTTGCCGCAAGGAGGCAAATTGCTAGGACGCAGAGGCCAAAGGGTGGGGGCCGGTGGGTGAGCAGAGCTACATTCGGTGTATAAGACACACCCAAATTTTCACCTTCTTTTAGGCAGGGTAGGTGGGGAGAGTGCGTCTTATACTCCGAAAAATACGATAGTTCTTATGGAACTTTGTGGCTTCGGGGAAATAGAAATTATCTTTAGCCTAATATTAAAGAGCAATTTCCCAAAGAACATTCTCGCATAACATAGCAATCCACTTACTTGTCTAACGAGGCTACATATTTTCCAGAGAGGAAATATTCCACCAACGGGGATACACTGCACAGGCACTGAATTACAGCATTCATATAACATGTGTTGCCTAAATTACGCAGGCCGGTAAGTCCTTGGTATTGTGGGTTTGTGTCATCTCTGGATACATCCATAGACTCCTCCGAAGTCTGCCAGGGAAAGGCACCCTTGCTGTGTTTCCAAAGCCAAACAATCGTCAAAGGAGTTTTTGAGTCCCAGCGTGAACAAAAATATTTATTTACAAGAGTTTCCATTCCAATTTCTATAAATTAATGCATTTCCTAGCTAGCCAACCAATTGTCAAAACAAGTACTGTTTTTGGCTCGAATCCTAACAGGAATAAAATCTTTTATTTACAAGTGTGTGTATGAATTAATCAGTCTCCTAGACAACAAGGGACTGAATATAGGACGAGGAAGTTGCTCGGTTGATACAATAAGCACATGAGAATTAAATGAGCCAGATGGAGATGAAGTCAAACATGTTCAAAGCTGCTCAAATTGAACTAGGATTATTATCATTTAGGGGTGGAGGACTATATTATATAAACAACAGACTTTTCCTGGATTATATCAATTCACAAACTATACAGTAAAGGTAAAGGTTCCTCTTACACATATGTGCTAGTTGTTCCCAACTCTAGGGGGCGGTGCTCATCTCCGTTTCAAAGCCGAAGAGCCAGCGCTGTCCAAAGACGTCTCCGTGGTCATAAGGCCGGCATGACTAAACAGTGAAGCCGCACAGAACACTGTTAACTTCCTACCAAAGTGGCTCCTATTTTTCTTTTTTTACCTGCTTTTGAACTGCTAGGTTGGCAGAAGCTGAGACAAGTAACTGGAGCTCACTCTGTTACACAGCGCTAGGGATTTAAACCACTGAACTGCTGACCTTCTGATTGACAAGCCCAGCATCTTAGCCACTGAGCCCTCTCATCCTTAATCTGAATAGATGAAGAAGCTGAAAAAGAAACCATCTGGAAGTAGGCATTGCCTACTTACTTCATTATTGCTGCCAAGTATGCAGACATTCCTACCAAGTCTCCAAGAATCAAAGGCAATTTCATCTTCCTGGTGGACTTTTCATTCTAAACCGACTCCAAGAGAAGCATATGAAGATTAATAATAAATCATTATCTACAAACTCAATCTTTACAGGAGATGCTCCTAACTTTTCAGATCTCCCTGAAGGGGACATCCCATTTCTGAATCACTTTCCCCTGAATTAATAGGCTGCTGCCTAGTAATTG